GGGGGCAAGCAAGCGGTCAAGGCAATTTCCTGAGCAGGTCTGGACTCAGGACCGGCGGAGGAAAGAGCCGCGCGATCAGCCCCCCGGCCCCGCCCGGCCCCGTTACACCAAAGTCACAACAGCAATAAAGCACAACACCGCCTGGGCAATCTCCCTGGACGAGTGGTCGCTCTACGAGCTGCTGCCGGACTGGCCTGCCAAGGGGGCAGAAATTGGGCCGGCTCTTCCCCCGAGGCGTGCGCATTCCTGCGCACGTTGCCCCCTCCCCGGGGGGCGGGGCGGGGGGGGGGGGGGGGGGGGACCGCGCGGGTGGTGCAGCCGCGAGCTAGAACCACCCGGCTGTCTGGGCGGCTGGGCGGAAGCGCGGCCCTGGCAGTCCTGCGCAAGCAGTCCGTCTAGCCACGAGGCCTGGGTGCCGGATTCGGTGCTCGCTACCATTGCCTCGCGCCCGGCCTACCCCAAGGGGCGACTGGTTGGGGAGTGGGGGCGGGGGGGGGGGGGACGAGTCGCCACCGCACCGGGCGCCGCAACCAGCGCCCTGCCCCCCTCCGCGGACGAGACCCAGGCGAGCAACGGGACTACGGGCCCCAGGCCTCGGGGCTCGGGCGTGCATGCACGACGCACGTACACACACAAGCACGCAAGCGCGCGCGCGCACGCGCACACGCACGCAAGCATCCCGGAGCGAGGGAGACGGCGAACAAGTGAGACCAGCGGTCGACTAGCGTTTGGCAGCGCCAAACACAGCACCTAGATGGCTGTGAGAACGCCGGCCGCCAACGAGCAGCCGGGAATACGGTGGCGCCCACGGCTGCGAGGACGCGTAGCCGGCGCAAGTGTCGACCTTGACAACTGCAAGTAACCCCCGCACCGCGGCCCGGCCGAGCCCGGCCGCTCCCGACGACACTCTCCCCAGAGTCCCAGCTCGGCAGGTGTTGGGCTCGCGTGTGTGTGTGTGGGGGGGGGGCGGGGGGGAGGCACCGCCGGCGGCGGTAGTCACCGCGGCCCCCTGTCGTTTATGTGCCCCCCCCCCCCCGGGCG